ATGTTTGACCTCAAGAATACACACAGTGGCTTGTTAAGAAACAATGGAAATATAACTAAATACATTGTTTACATAATGAATAATGTGCTCATTGTTCAAGAGAAACGAGCACATTCAATATAAACAATTGCTACAACAAAGCGAGAACCATTACATATTAACATGTAAGTGACAGACTGGTTCAGCTGTATATTCACTATAATATACGTGGAATTAACTTCATTTAATTTGAATACATTCAAGCTAATGACACTGTATTGTTCAAAAACAGCACCAGCAAGATTAAGATAACAGTCAGCATTGTATTTGACTCCTTGGCACCATGATAAATATTAAATTATACATTCACTGAGGACTGACCATTTAAGTAGCTTATTTGAACACTGAGTTTTCTCACTACAAATACATACTTTTCTGAAACAAGTGAACTCCAATACAAAAAGTAACATTAGATTTTCCCTGCAAACATTTTCAGTAAAGTTCAGTCACCTTTTCACAAACAAACAAAAAACAAAATAAAGAATTTTTGTTGATTTTTCCTCCGACACAAATATTCTGACAAAATTTGCGCACAAAACAGCCGCCAAAATCCAGACTTTGCGTGGACTGGCGGGCTTGAATGTTTGAAGGCACTACATGGTTAAGGTAAACATTACATTTTATATAGGCTACATTACAGATCTGGGATCTGCTGGTTTAACAAGCCACCTGATTATTTAGGGTACCTGTTCTTTTTGGTTTTAGCCCCTGAGTTTGTGGAAATAAATATTTGGATTTGATCCATTCTACTTTTACCAGGTCCCTTTAAAGCTCTGTTGTGTTGAGATACGTATGTAGCTTTGTCCATTTCATTTAGATGCCATCATGTCTTTAACAACATCGAGTGGATAATTCAGTAGTTTTGACTCAGTGTGAGAGACGCATGAGAGAATCTCTGGGTGAAGCGCTGAATACTTTTAAAGGCCAACAGGGTGGCGACTCCACTGACTGCATAAAGAGGTTCAATTGTAGAAGTCTACACTCACCGGCCACTTTATTAGGAACACCGGATCAGCCGCTTTTTAAGACAAATAGCTAATCAGCCAATCACATGGCAGCAACTTAATGCATTAAATCAAGTAGACGGGGTCAGGACTACTTGCTGAAGTTCAAACCGGGGAAAAGGGGATTTAAGAGACTTTTAATGTGGCGTGGTTGTTGGTGCCAGACGGGCTTGTTTCTTAATAGTGCCAGGAGTCCAGAGCGGTCTAATGTACCGGTTAATTGATCTCTCTCTCGCTCTTGGCTGGAACAACTTTCTTTGCTTTCCATTTGCAGAGCCTGGGCTGTGCAGGAAAACCGGAGCACACTGAGGAAATATTCGCTATATTTAACTACAAGTGTATTGGATTACAGTACCTTTCTATCCCTTTAAGGGAGCCACAGTGTCTGACAATATTTCTTCTACTGGTCCGCTGCTGCGTTCTGAACCCTTATAAATGGTTCAGAACGCAGCAGCGCATCTGGTTTTTGATCAGCCCAAAAGGACTCATGTCACTCCATCACTCAGTGACCTCCACTGGCTCCCCGTGGCCTCCAGAATCAGATTCAAGTCACTAATGCTGCCAACAGTGGTGGAACGAGCTACCACACGCCATCAGAGCTCTAACTTCAAGAAGCTCCTGAAAACTCATCTCTTCCGAGAACACTTCCTCTTATAACACCTCTAACTCCTAACATCTAACATGCACTTCCTGTGCTCTTCTTCTTCTATCCCCTACAATTATCTTGTACTGCTTTGTACTTTTTTTGTTAACTCTTCCTTCGCTAGGTATTTACTCCAATGATGTGATATGAACTAGTGTTGTGTCGTTCAAAGAACGTTTCGTTCATTAGACCTAGTCGTGTGTATGACTCGGGAGGAACGGGTCGTCTCAGTGAGTGATTCGTTCATTTTCACGCATGCGTGAAGGATCTTGGACTCTTACGTTCGCTCGTCACACGGCAGCTGCGTCAGCACAGGAAACAGAACTGATTAGTTCACGACTCTCAACTGTGGGTCTGTTTGAGTCGTTCATTTGTCACGTGACAGCTACTGTGGAGAAAGAGAGGCAGGTCGGCTGTCAGGTAACAGTCACTGGACTGATATTATATAGCTTTCTTGTTAAGTATGTGACATTTAACAAAGCACAACGTTATTACAGCGCAGTGATGTTGTGCTAAGTTATAGTTATTACTGTAACTTTGCTAGTGTTTACAGCTAACAGCTGATGAGAGTTGTTCTGGGTCCACTTCAGAGCCCTGACAGGGTTCTACCTGGAGCCGAATTACCTCCGAGGTCGTCTCCTCTCCAAAACAAACAGACCCGGTCATTAAAACATTAAAACACAGCCACGTAGCAACGTTAGCGTTAGCTTTGTAAACAGCTAACAGCTGATCCAGGTCTGCCAGGGAACGCAACGTAACTTTTCCTTTTTATTCATCAACAGAGCCGAGCTGTTGTTTCACAGCTCGTGACTGGTGAACAACCTGCAGTGTTTGAGAGCGACGTGCTCATGTGTGTTTCTCTGTCTGCAGAATCTGGACCTGATGTGGCCCATCCTGCGTCCAGACCTGCCAAACTGCTGCATTTATATAATGTGTTAATATTATCTCTCTGTGCTGGAGTTCTTTAAGAACTTGGTGGCTTGATCCAGATTATTATTAAATTGGTTGAATTTTAATAAGAGTGTGTTTATTCATATAGTGTATCAAGCTTATTACTTCAATATATTTACTGCAAATCTGATATTAATATTTTACTCCTGGATAGGGACGTTAGGCTGCTGTATGAATGAGCACTTTAGAGATAATGATAGTAATTATATACATCAGCCTTTATGTGGCTGGTCTGGTTGTATACTACTCGGGAAAGATTGTGACAATGGACGGATTTAGCCAGAGTAGTGGTGATTACATATAGACAGCATATTTCTGTGGTTTTTACATGGTTTGAATTTAGTTGTGGGCCCAGGGGGGTTATATAATGATGATATACAATAATCAAGAGGTGAATTTGTCCATTATACTTTGTCAATTAAAGCAAGCCAGGCAGCCTTCCTGTTTTTTAATCGCCCACTAGAGGGCTGCAGCGCCGCAATAACCAGCCTAGTTCAAATGAACGAAATGACTCAAAAAAACAAAGAGATTTGAATGAACGAGTCTGTCAAAAGACTCGAACTTGCCAATACTAATATAACTATGAGCTCTACTAGTATTTATTGCTGCTCTTACTAGTATGTATTGTCAGTTGTAGATCTGTACCTGATGCTCTGTTGACGCTTGTATGTTGTTCCTCAAATGTAAGTCGCTTCGGATAAAAGCGTCTGCCAGATGAGTAAATGTAAATGGTCCAACAAAACAGTATTTGGTTGTTTGTGACTAACATGCGTGACTCAGTCTACAGATTCACACACACCTTCACAGCAGCTCTGGAAGATCTTTATGATAACCGTTTCCCTGCTCAGGAGAACCTGCAGAAAAGAAAAGTATATATTACATAAAGTCAACTTGGCTTTCGATTCAGAAAACGGAGATTTTGGTGTGAACCTGCCCTTAAAGATAGCATCAATGCAAAACTACTAGTATAGCAATATTATAGTAATTGGTAAAAATATGGTAAGCAGCTGACAATAAAATGTTTATATAAGTGCAATATTTGGATTAAAAATGTAATACGGTGACATTAATGGGGTAAATATCTTTTAGATCTGTTTAAAGACTCTGTAAGACGAAATATTGACATTTAGGGAAATCAAAATGTCGAATCATCCATTTATTGGACGGTTATGTTTTACAACTCGCTATATTTTTTTAACGATCAGAATGAGAACCAGAAGCTGTGCCCCTACACTCGAGACTGCCTGTGCAAATTTGCAGTCAGACTTTGCCTCATCACAATCTGCCCCGTTTCATTTGAAGCTACTTTTAAATGCACACAAGACAAAGGTGATGATATTTGCACCTACTAATACTAAAGTCCCAGCTCTCGCTATTAACACAACCAAGACGAAGCCATTGAACTTGTTGATACTTATAAATACTTGGGTATCCGGCTGGACAAAGCTTGACCCTCTTTATCATGCGGCTCTCAGGTTCATCACAAACGCTGGCTATCAGACACATCACTGCATCTTATACAGTAGGGTAAATTGCTGTCACTCAAACTGCGCAGGATGCTACACTGGCACATTTTTATTTATAAAGCTATTTTAGGATTTTTGCCTTCTTATATCTGTTTAAAATTTGTTCATATGCAAAGCAAATATTTAAATCTAGTGACGAACTACTTTGTTTGAAAGAGGAGTCTGTCTTACTACGGCCCTTCGTCCAGGAATGAACTCCAGTCTGAGCTTAAGATTGGTGCGCGGATTTCCTTAGCTGCTTTTAAAAAAAGAATATCTGACATTCTGATGGACATATGCAGTTGTTTTAATTAACGGAAGGTAGATCTCTACATTTAGTCCTTATTTCGTTTTTTTTAATATATTTTAAACTCTTTGCATTTTTGTCCATGTAAATATTTTGTAAACTTTGTGTGTAAATCTGTCTTGTATTTTAATTTACGTAATGTATTGTTTTTCAGCTCATGGTTGAAAAATTGTATTTTATTTGTGCTTTGCAGGACTGTGTCTCAATGGGACATTTCCTGTTTAAACAAAAGTTTTTTTTATATAGATAGATAGATAGATGCCTCATAAATAAATAAAGGCTACAACATAAGTCCGGTAGCTCACCTGGTGGAGCGTGAGGGTTTGATTCCACCTCCAGCTTTGTGCTGAATGTCATCCTGTTTCTCTCCCCGTTTACCTGTCTCTCTTCAGCTGCTCCTGTCCAATAAAGGCAATAAAATTTTAAAAAACTAATACCGTATATCTGAGAGGACGAGACCATCTCGACACAAGATGGTTTCTGTCAAGCATCTGTGATGTTGATGTCTGCACATGATGAATATGTTGATACAATCCATTATATAAACTGACCTTTATTACAGCGTACTGTGATGAACTTTGTAGCTACAAGCAAAACTAGAACTGCAGCAACAGGTAGAGCTCCTAAAGAGAATCCACAAAGAAACCATCCTGTTACGTCCCCTCTGCTGCACGTGTCCTCAAACAGTTTCTCTGAAACACACAACAAAACCTAGAGTCACACTCAGAATGTAAACTGTATATCATGTACAGCACGCTGGTTATTACCTACACAGAACTACTACTGAGGCGGCCATGCTGCTAAAATCTATGAACATGTAAAACTACTTGCAGATAAAACCACTGAAATGAATCTCACCTGGCAAAGTGATGTTATTACTGATCATATGACCGATGTCGTCCTGCTGGACTACACAGTGGAACCGGTTGTTTTCGGTCTTCTTCACAGTAGTTTGGAGGGTGATGTAGAAGTGACCTTCTCTTTCTGAGACCTGTGTCTCCTCAGCAGGAAGTTTGTTTCCAGCACCGTCCTGCCACTCTACTGTAGGTTTAGGAAAAGCACCTCTAACTTCACACTGCAGCAGGACCCCAAACTCTGTGACATCAACTATCGTGATGGACGGCTCTGCAGCTGCACCTGTGAACACAGTAATAAGAAAACAATACAAACAGTTAGAGCACTACAAATGTAGTTTTTGTCCCCAAAATACCCAGTACACTGTATGTAAGAGTCAGAAAAACTTTTAGTAACGGTTCCTCTATTAATCCCATTTATCACTGTACAATGAATATCTTTTTGGACTTTGTTTTGGACTCTTCGTTGGACAAAAAAGCAATTTGAAGACATCACTTTGGGCATTTTCACTATTTCCTGACATTTAAAAACAAAAATTAAAAAGAAAAATGAAAAAAAAGAAAAAAAAATTATTGTTAGTTGCAGCCCTACACAAAAATATAATTTTATAGATTAATATTTAGCTTTTGTCAAGCTAAATTCAAATAATTCAAAAGCATGTTCACCCCAAAGTGCGTATATTTTGTCAATGAGAAATATGTTCCACTGATTTCATATAACCACAGAAAAGAATCTTAATTATAATAAAATCATCTTTCAGTTATCAGTGTAACGTTAGGGAGTAAGATTACAGTCTAATGCAGTGGTAGAGTCTGACAGTTTCACCAACAGTTTAAAAGACTGATGTGCCGTTTACATCGTGACCCACAGAGTCCGACCTTAAAGACACATCAGGAGAAACTAGTGGAGAGTCTTGAGTTTAATGTTTCTGATCTCTACACCTGCAGGTTGACTGCTTTGGGGGGCAGATGGGCGGCTGTCTGTGTGTGTGAGTGTGAGAGTGTGTGCGCGAGCGAGCAGGTGACAGGTGAACTACTCGAGTTGAAGAAAACTTGCTGTAAAGGAACACTAAAGAATCTCACCACAGATAAACACGTAGGTCTGAGCATAAATCTGATGTCTGATCTCCTCCTGTGTGGCTACACAGCGATAGCGGTCGGTCTTCTTCACAGTAGTTTGGAGGATGATGTAGAAGCTGCCTCCTCTTTCTGAGACCTGTGGTTCTTTAGCAGGAAGTTTGTTTCCAGCACTGTCCTGCCACTCTACTGTAGGTTTTGAAGAAGCACCTTGAACTTCACACTGCAGCAGGGCCACGTCCTGCGTTTGATAAAGTGTCCTGACAGACGGCTCTGGAGATGCTCCTGTGAACACAGTAAACAGACACATCAGCTATAAAAGGACAATAACAGGATTATAAATGTAACACTGATGTTTCTTGTTCGTCTCTTCTCCGCTTGTAAATGAGGATTAAAGTGAGAGTGAGAGTGAGATGTTGTGATCTGTAGCGTGCTGCAGTTACTGCAGTGCTAGAGTCTGACTGAACACAGTTTCACCAACAGTTTAAAAGGCTGATGTGCCATTTACATCGTGACCCACAGAGTCCGACCTTAAACACACATCAGGAGAAACTAGTGGAGAGTTTTGAGTTTAATGTCTCTGATCTGCATGTACACTTTAATGCAAACATTGTCCTGTATCATAATGATGAAGATCATCATGACGACATTTCAAAATACATTTAACACCACAACTCTGCAGTAGTGATGATGAAACCAAATATGAAAAGGTCTTGGACTACTCTGGATGGCTCTTTAACAACAGCCTGTGGGCAGCTCCCAAAGTACTCTGAACATCTAATGAACCAGGAGGACGCTGTCTGTGGAGGGTCAGGTTTAATAATTAAATAATCTTTATCTAGAGGTGAAGCTAATTAGCTACCTTCACTGTTGTGCACTGGTATTACATACTCATTTACTCAAGTACTGTCATTATATACAATTTTAAGATACTTGTGCTTTTACGCTTACATTTGTCTTAAAAACTGTATTTACTTTGCAAATTATAATTTTACATGATATACTATAATATAAATGAATACATTATAATACGGTGGAAGACTACTGTAGTAATAACATGTACTGCAATATAAACAAGTTGTATATTAATGTAATAAATGTAATGATGGTGCACTTCTACACCGCCATCATTGAGTCCATCCTCTCCTCCTCCATCACCATCTGGCACGTTGCTGCCTCTGCCAGGGACAAGAGCAGGCTGCAGCGCATCATTCACTCTGCAGAGAAGGTGATTGGCTGCAATCTTCCTTCTCTTCAGGACCTGTACTCCTCCAGGACTCTGAGGTGAGCAGGAAAGATTGCAGCTGACTCCTCCCACCCCAAAAACAGATTCTTCCCATCTGCAGCTATGTACACAATATTATCTTCCGTTGTGTTACTTCTGCACAACACAAACCCAGAGTAATGCACATGTAAATATGTGCAACGTTGTTCTTTCTCTGCTAACAGTTGTATTATTTTTCTCTATTCTTTTTATTATTATTATATAACTTGCATTGTCCATTCCATATTTATATAGTTCTACGTGTAGCACCTCATCACCAAAGCAAATCCCTCGTATGTGAAGGTTTGTGCTCATTATGTTTCTTACCGTTTGGAAGTCCGGCTGTTTTTCCAGACAAAGTCAGCAGACAGAAACAGAAGAACAGAAGCTCCTGGACTGTCGACATGTTGGAGAAGTAACTTAAATTAACGATAACGGTGCAGATAACTTCACTTGCTGTTAGCTGAGATATTTCAAAATAAATGTACGCCTGCCTTTGGTGCGAGAGACCCGGGTTCAATTCCCCACTGTGACCCATCCACCATCGTGTCCCTGAGCAAGTATACACTAATACTAAACATTACATCTAACGTTATTTCAATTAAAACAAAACGCACAGTATGCCGCGTGGTCCACGAACTTCCTCGTTTTGTAATGGCTGTTGAATGTAATATAATGCGCCTTCCGGCCACCAGCGCTTTGTTGCGCTTCAGCTCCGTCTCTCCTCGTCTTTTCGGTCGGTGACTGGAGACGAACAGCTGAACAACAACAACAACAACAACAACAACTCCGCACATTGTGTTTTATGCAACAAAGGTAAGGGACTTTTATACATTTTGACGAAGGACTAGATAAACAATGAGCAGATATCAGCGATGTCTGTGGGAATGTCGGAGCTTTTACTGTTGAATGACATCGATTTGTGCTTCTGTCTTTGCTGCACATCTGGCTAACATCAGGGGAGAGTTGCAAGAATATTGTGATTCACATATGATCTTTTAATCAACATTATGTGTTTTTTCAGTTCAAATTTGAAAAAACACAGGAGCATTTTAGGTTAGATTCTTTTTTTTTAAAACTTGCATTGAATGAGGTTGTATATATCTGAGGTAACAGAGCTCTGCACATGGCTATACAGAAAATACAACTCAGTCATGGAACATGTGCTTGTAAACCAAAGTACTTTAAAGTACAAAGCAGAAATACATGTTTTTACAACACTCTAATTCTCTCTGTCTGTGTCACAGTGATGGATGGTGATGAGGAGCTGGAGAAAGCAATGCAGAGCACATCACCCACCAAGGAAAATTTACTTACTGAACACTCAAACACAATTTTGGTCAAACAGTGTTATTAAATGCCAATCTGTTATACCATTGAATCTTTTTGTGCATTGCCAGCTGCTGCTCCATCATCATCATCATCATCACTTGCTGATGTTCCTGGTAACCAGCAGGGTTCATGAACTGATTTGCTCAGTAGCGAGGGTAAGTACCCATTTTTGTCTTCATGCAAGAAAAATCTATCTATATTGCGTCACCTGCTTAGACTTATAAAGGCTAAAGAAGAGTATTTTAATTGAGCATCCAGACCAAACTGTGTGAATGAAGTGCATCACCATTATATTACCAATTATCTTTTATATTATAATGAAGTACTCATTCAATTTTTAAGACTTAGCAGGTGAACAGCGACTGTTGTCTGTTTTAGTACCGTCTGCTTCACTGCACCGACCCCCTGCTGACACCCGAAGGAAACTGCTTGAGCCGCTAGTAGATGGTAAAACGGTGTAATTTGTTTCTCCATCTGCAAAACTTTCATGTTAATCAATAAAGTGTATTGTCTTATGCTCTGTAGTAATTCTGTTATACTTCAGACATATACTGGTGAGTGCTTTTTCTTATCTTGTTGTCATTCTGTCTTCGTAGGCCCGCCATGCCTACAGTAGAGAGAGAGGAGCCCCTTCCTCCTGAGCTGCAGTTTCTGGTGAAAGAGCTCCTAGTCACCAGCAAACTGAGAAGACGGTCTCAGCACCAGGTGTGTATCACGGGAAGATTTTATATTCAGTTGTATTTTCTTCTAAACAATGTCTACAATGTGGCCTGTAAGAGTCTTATACATATCTATAAGGATGTACAGCTGTGTTAAAAAGTTAATAAATAAATGTAAACAGAGTTTCTTGGTTTTAATTGAACCATACATTGATCTTTCCAGGAACCCTCTCACCTTCTGAGACTTCTTCTTTCCCTCATACACCTGAGCCACCACACAGTAAGATGTTTTCTTTACTCTGAAGATGTTGCTGTGGCCTTAAGTCTTGTAAAATTATGACATCTCGCTAATTTAGCTTTTCCTTTGTTCTCTCAGCTGGGCCTTTTTACTGTTGTTCCCCCACTGACACCCAGACCGGCCCCTCATACCCCTGAGCCACCACACAGTAATGGACCAGCTACATTGAGGTGGTTCTACCTGCGATGGAAAACAGAGGACGGCGGGCCAAAAGCGACTCAAAGTAGAGATGAGCTGGTGCCAGCGATGGAAAAGCACTATGGGTTTTTAAAACTAGTCCAGAACTCACTGACACTGTGTCTGCGCTCCCATCCCTTTTTCGGGGGGGTAAACCAGAGAGTGACATTATGGCGAGACTGAGAAATAATTACATTCTCCCATGTATGGGCATGTATCTTCTACGATAAATCTTAATTGTTGTTTTAATGGTGTGTGAGTAGACATTTTCGAGTAGGCTACGTCACTCGCTTTGCAAAAAACACATCAGTCACTGCGTCATGCATGCAGTAAACATGTTGCTGCTGAAAGATTCATGACGCTACCAGCCTCGCAGTCTAACGTTAAGTTGTTAGACTGAATTCCTAGACTTGGATCGACCTCACTTGCATGGAGCTAGACGTCGACTTTGACTGTCAACAATCGGTTGCTGTGAAAGACCACAAACTAACCACCGCACAGAATATAAAAAGCTCCGGGAGTCAGCTGTCCACGACAGACCTGAACCAGCAGAGGTACCGGCACAAAAACAAGATCTGGTTTAAACACAACTACACTGATGACAGAATCAAACCCACTAAGACAACAGCTTCAACAGAACTCAGAGCTTAACTGGTGACAGATGAAAAGGTTTACTCATACTTGCACTGGTGCCTTAAGTGCTTTTATATTGTTTTCACGAAATGCTTCAGTTGTAAATAAATAAGACCTGTTTCCATTAATGTCATTAGTAACCAGCAGTTAATGTCCTGTTCGGTTTCAGGACTGTTGTCGGGTAGCACAGAGGAGAGTTTGATGTTCTCCAGGGCCGAAGTCGATGCTAACATCTAGGCTAACCCCTTTCACTGACAAGCAACACACAGGAGCTTCACTTTAGTCTTGAGATGCTGTTGTCTTTATCCATTAGCCACTGAAACTTATACTGTACATTTACTGCTAAATTGAGGGCTTACTGCTGACACCAAACACTCGCTCTGTCTCCTCCTCTACCCCTCTCACACATGACTTTTACACATTTTTGAAAGATGTCAAATATCTCTCTCTCTCTAATTATCCAAAAATATATACATCCCAGAAACTATCTAGATAGTATTTATGTCAGTATTGCACAGCCCTACTCCAGTGTCTTCAGGTTGTCTAAAGCCAGATAAAGTCTCCGCCTGTGTGGATAGACCTTAGGTGATTGTTGTCACCACTGGTCAATACTACATCTTTGCTTCACGCCTTAGCTGCGTGGATCTGGTTATTTAAAAGTCCTCGGTGGTCGGATAAATTGCCAAAAGCGGTTCACAAACATTCTGCCAGCATACCTAACTTACAACAAGGCCATTTACAAGTCTGTGCTTCATGAGGACCATAAGCTGAGGTGAATAAGTTATTGTTTAATTCAATTTTGAATTTAACACAACATCCTTGATTGTAAATATGATTTTTGCTGTGTAATATTACATAATAAACCGATATAACAAACTGTATTTTGGGCATTGCTTTAAAAAATTCTCTATACAAAAAATTATGTACACCTTTTAAACTGAGCTGATGCTCCTTGAAATAAAAAGTAGTGCAGCAGCTCAGTACTGTTGAAATTAAAATTGAATACTTAAACCATTAGTATTCTCCTCTCTGACAAGTAGGCTACTATTTCATATTAATCAGAAGGAAAGGTGCTCATCAAAGTGGAATTTACATCATTTTATTAAAAAATAGCTGTTTATCTTTTATCATGAATTACAGCCTTCGCCCCGACTGGGATTCGAACCTGCGTCCAGATAAACATTCAGCACCTCGGACCGCGGCCGCAAAATGCTGAAATCAGATTAGCTGTCAGTGAGTTACAACTATCGGCGGCTGGCCACCCGGGAGACCATAAAAAATCCCTATCTTAAGTAAATTAGTAAATCCATCCATCCATCCATCGTCAACCGCTGAACCTGCGTCCAGACACGGTCGCGAGGGGGCTGGAGCCAATCCCATCTGACATCGGGCGAAAGGCGGGGTACACCCTGGACAGGTCGCCAGTCCATCGCAGTAGATGAAAAAGTGGATGTCCTATTTAATTCTAAACACCTAAAAGTGTATACTGACCGAAATGAACAAACATCTCTCAACAACTCCTCTGATGATGGATGGAGACAGCCCACATGTAAAAACTATCCACATAATAAATTCTACATTTATTTTATTTATGGCACTACGGTGGTATTTAACTGTAGATGCTTATTGTACAACATTCAACACATCCATAAAAGTGAATTCAACTAAAAGACTCATCTGCTCTTGGTATATCTGAGCTGCTGTGTGCATAGTTGAAGCTACTCCACTGTATTTATCTGACCACTTTAGGTACTGGTTACTTTGCAGATTCAGATAAATCGTCATCTAATAAATTATGATGTAATGTCAGCGGAAAAGATTTTAGACTTTATTGGTGTGGGGGGAAATAGTTACTTTGGCGGTTGCTAAATTTATGGGGAAAAGCAAGATTGGATCATCATAATGACCTTTTCCTTAGTCTAAAACACCTTTGATTAACTGTATTTTATTTAAAATCAAAGGATTTTAAAAGAGGTTAAACATTTGATTATCTAAAAAAAACAAAAAAAAAACAGGTGTTGAATCAGGCTGATAACAACTTTTTGTTATTCTTTTCTTCAAAATAAAAACACCATTAGGAATGTTTGTATGACATTAACACTTTTATGTAACAGCTTAAAGTAGACAGGAAATGAAGGTAAACAGATTTGGAAGAGCTTTTTTCACTAACAAGCATGCTGATTCACATTTAGTTTGGACCAATCATAGGGCAGTATGCATCTACAAGTGTGACGTGACGAACCAGTGCAAAAATCACACACAGTGAACTTTACAGTGAAACAGACATCTTACATCCAGAAAGTGAAACTTCAAGTCATTGAAACAAGGCACCAGTATTCTTTCTTTCATATGATTAAAAACACAATCTTTCTTTAAAACTAGCGTTGAGGAAAGAAATGCACAAAACACGTTTCACTTAAAGAACACAAATAGTGGTTTGTTACACTTAATGTAAATAAAACTTAACAACAAAA